GGGCTGACCCTGGTGCCACCGGTAGCCGCGGCTCCTGGGAGAGAAAAGCCTCATGAAATTTTGATTTGCTGGGCTGAACAGGCCTCTGGCAGAGGAGGGGAGGTCTGGTGTCAGGTCAGGACGTGCTTCTCTCCCCGGTCTTAGGGTGCTTGAAAGCAGGTGCTGAAAAACAATTCCTGATGGGTATTGACTGCAGGTCCTGAGGAACCTGATGCTTTGGGATTTCAGGAGCTGTCAGAGGGGTGGGAATGATGATTTCTTTTTCCTGTTACACAGCTGTTGGCTGTGTGGTTCAGGATAGAAGATACACCAGTATTTAATGCTTTCTTCTGAAATACTGTTTTGTTTACTTTAGTGTTAGAATATTCCTTAGTATTTTTGTACTTTGAACAAATACTTGGATCCTTTGGCTGCAGTTAATCAGCTGTGGACCTCGTACCTAATTCTACAGTATGTGCTCAAGGATCTTTTGTTTGTTTGTTTTTTAAATATAAGCATCATTGAAGGAACCTGAAGAGGGGGGAAAGAACCCAAGCAGACTGCTTGTTGCAGATGCAGAGTAGAAGAATAATATGAATAACATTAGGGGATAGTTTTTGAAAAAAGGCATTTAAAGCATCAGTTGAAGTTCTCTTTTTATCTTCTTTTATGACAGTCAAGTAGTGTCCTGTGCTTAGGCCTTAATCTTGTGACCTAAGATCACTTGATTGCCTTACTTGTGTGAAGCTTCTACAACTTGAGCTGTTTCATTGTGTATGTTCTGCTTTATAAGCTTCTTAGGTGCAGCAGTTGGAGCTTCATGTGTCATTTGTCATACTTGATTTGTGCTATACCAGTTCTGGGTGATTCTCCAAGGCTGCAAGATGCCAAATCCTTGGTTAAATGCTCGTAAAACCCTTGATTTTAGAATTAGATGCTCCCTTTTTATCAAAATGGTGCTAGAAAAAATAGTAGTTAAATATTATTGCTTAAAGTTGCGTCCTGTTTAGATGCAATTAAACTTACATTTAACTAAAGTTGCTTTTTGACCTTGTGCAGAGACTGGAGATACTATCACTGTATTGAACTGAGGGACTCCCTGAGTAATAACTGCCTGCCTGTCATAAGTTGCTTCGCAGTAGGGTAAATAAAAGGGGTGTTGTGCATGTCAGCTAAGAGGTTTTTATGTTTTTAAGGGTCTTGGAAACTCTCAGAGGGAATATGAAAGGCAGGTCGTGCTCTACAGCATCCGCAATCAGTTACGGTACCGGAATAACTTGGGTGAGTAAAGCAGCTAAGTAACTTCTGGCTGCTTCCTGATTATTCTGTGGGGAAGCTTGTCTTTACTGTAAGTCTGCAAGAACTAGTCCTGTTCAAAGGCCCCTCCTTCCCCAAGATGAGTCTTGACTTTTGAGTCTGTTTGGCAGCTTTTCTATCAAAGTACTCTTTAAGGTTACTGCACTGGCAAGTGGAACTGAACTCCTTCAGTGGGTGGGTTTTAATAGTTACACCTCCCTTTCCCAAGAAATCAAGACTAGTTAACAGAGGATTTGACTCATAAAAGAAAGCCTGTCACTAGTTGAGATTCAGTGGCCACAACTCTCATGAGCTATGACTTGTTTCCTGAGTTTGAATTTATTTTGTTTTGACTGCATCTATTAATAGTTCCAAATTAGGTAAGTTTCATTAATTAGAAGATAATTTTCTACAGCCTGCATGAGTTCTGTCTCAACAGGGCACTTTCTGGTCACCTGTAAAATTAATCTACTCTGTTCTAATGTCATCTTTAAAGGCTCTGAGAGTACTTATATATAGAAATTCCTGGATGATGAATGCCCTGCACCACTCTTTTCTTTCGTTGTTAGTTTTCTGATAATTGCCATTTTGCTATTTTTGATCCTTTTCTTATAACACTTAAAATAAAAAATTGCTTAATAGTGTAACTTCTGTTTTCCTCCCCTTGTAGTTAAGCATGTCAAGAAAGACGAGCGTAAATATTATGAGGATCTGTTAAAATATAGTCGAGATCATCTCATGTTGTACCCTTATCACTTGTCTGACATCATGGTAAAAGGGCTGAGAGTAACACCATTTTCGTATTACACGGGCATAATGGAGGTGAGTACAAAGCTGTGGTGAGAATGTTGTTTCCTGTCCTAGAGATGTTGGTGATGGCCCCGTAATGCACACGTGGAAGTGTCATGGAGCTTGTTTGCTTTGGGGTGGAATGTGCTGACATGTAAGGGAACAGTAAGGAGACTTTCTGGAGACTTGCTTGTACCTGCAGTTTTTTTTCCCTTCTTCCCCCATAAGCTGTTCAAGAGCTGGACTTGGTCATGTGGAACAGGGGTGGGACTCACTTTGGGGCCAGTCTTTCTCTTTTGGTGTTTGAGATTGTGGCTACTCACTACCAGCTGTGAAATAAATAGCTTCTTCTGTTAGATTAACAAAGAAAAGATAATTCCCATTTTTAAAAAGCAGCACATTTGAGCAGTTATTTTCTTTTTTTGTTCTAAAGGACACTTAAACATATTAGAAGCTCTTTCAAAAGCCTGAAGCAGATAATTTTCTGTGAGAACAAAGGTGGTTCTGTTTTCTCTCAGCACTATGGCAATGTTCTTCTATTTTCATTGGATATCAGAAGGGCTTTTTTATTTTGTGTATAGTAATAGTGTTCTGTTATTACTGTTAGAAACTGTGCTGGATTTCTTGTGAAGACAGATGTAGGATTTTATCATTATTATTCTCTCAATGGGCATCCTTTGTAGTAAAGCTTAAACAAGTCTCTTTTAAAAATATTTAACTTACTGTGTAATGATTAGTCAAGTAATTGGCAAGTTTAATAAGGTAACTGACTTTCATAGATGTTTTTAATTTCACTTTGCTCTTAAAAAAAAGGAGGAATTTTGGATGTGCTTCTCTGAAATTACTACTTTGTTGTTTCAAGTAAGTTTTCTTGTCTTTTTAAGGATATAATGAACAGCGAAAAAAGCTATGATTCATTACCCAACTTCACTGCTGCTGACTGTGAGTATTACCTAGTTGTATTACTGCTTTCAGGGAGTTGGAAATAAGGAACTTCTGACAAGAGTGTTGTGGGCATCTCTGCTTCAACATAAGAGTGTGAATGAAGGTGTAGAAGCATTTAAATACTGTTATGAAAGAGCATGTGCTCTCCATGTAGAGTTCTGTCCGTATGGTCAGTGCTGGAATTGAGGCTAGTTTGAGTATAAATAGGAATGGTGCAGCTTCTGTCCTTGCCTTTATTGCATTCCTGTTTGCTTGGACTTCTGGGTGAAAAGTCTTACTGGATGTTGTGCATCAGCAAGCTGAGCTGCTCGTCCTTTCCTACTAGGTCTTTTGGCATGTGTTGGGTAGAAAGTTTTAGGAAGACTCTGAAAGGCTCTTGACACTCCTGTGAATTACTGTGAGTGTGGATTGAGGGATGATGTACCAGAAAATAATAGAGAAGAGATTCTGGCATCTTATGACAATTCTGGATGTGCCAGATGTTTTGTCCTGCTTTCTATTAGCCTGTTGTGGGTGTGGGATGGGGAGATTAGGAAGGCAAAAATGTTGAACCAGGTGGAGGAGAACAAAGGAAGAGCTATAGCCTACTGGTAAGTCTTACAGAGGAAAATGCAAACTCCTGGCAGAGAGAGGCTGTTAATTAAACCTGCTACTGAGAAGTTATTTATAGCTAAAGACTTCTTCACCTTTGGCATGAATTTATGTAGTTCTTTTTAAGGATGGCTTGTAGTCAGTGGAGGAGCAGCCTGCAGCTTTTGAAAGCAGCCCCATGGAGAGGGACCTTGGGGTCCTGGTAGGCAAAAAGTTATCCATGGGACAGCCATGTGCCCTTGTGGCCAAGAAAGCCAGTAGTATCATGGGATGCATTAAGAAGAGTGTCTCCAGCAGGTCAAGGGAGGTTCTCCTCCCCCTCTACTCTGTCCTACTAAGACCACATCTGGAGTACTTTGTCCAGTTCTGGGCTCCCCAGTTCAATAGTGACAGGGATATGCTGGAAGGAGCCAAACAGAGGGCTACAAGGATGATTAAGGGACTGGAACATCTGTCATATGAGGACAGGCTAAGACACCTGGGGCTGTTTAGTCTTGAGAAGAGAAGAACAAGAGGGGACCTTAATCTGAAGGGTGCATGTCAAGAATGGGCCAGTCTTTTTTGAGTGGTGCCCTGTGATAGGAGAAGGGGAAATGGCACCAAATTACAACACAGGAAGTTCCACCTCAACACTAGGAGAAACTTCTTTACTGTGAGGGTGACGGAGCCCTGGAACAGGCTGCCCAGAGAGGTTGTGGAGTCTCCTTCTCTGGAGACTTTCAAGACCTGTCTGCATCATGTAGCTTGTTGGTTGTTGGGATTTTGTGTTACTCAGGACTATGAGGAGAGGAAGGTCTTCCCTTTTTTTCCCCACTCCCAACCCTTCCCCCCCAGCAGTTGTGTTTTTTTTTTAGCAGCAGCTGCATGTCATTGACTGCAATATAATTAAATTAAGCATTTTTATTAACATTGTGTCCTGAAAACCAGTGTCAAATTAGAAAGTTGGGTTTAAAACAGGCAGCATATGGATTAAAACTACTGAGTTTCCAATATCTGTTGGTAGTTCCTTAATGGTTGAAGGCTGGAGATTATAGAATTAAGTTTTGATTCAGTTTAATTTTGGAGAATGGCTGGAGAGCAGACCTGAGGAGAAAGACTTGGAGGTGGTAGTTGTTGAGAAGCTCGACATGAGCTGCCAGTGTGTGCTGGAGCCCAGAGAGCCAGATGTGTCCTGGGCTGCATCAAAAGAAGTGTGGCCAGCAGGGCCAGGGAGGTGATTCTGCCCCTCTGCTTTGCTCTGGTGAGACCCCACCTGGAATACTGTGTACAGCTCTGGTGCCCTCAGCACAAGAAGAGTATAGACCTGTTGAAGACGGTCCAGAGAAGGGTCACCAAGATGGTCAAAGGCCTGGAGCAGCTTTGCTATGAGGACAAGTTGAGAGAGTTGGGGCTGTTCAGCCTGGAGAAGAGAAGGCTCCAGGAAGACCTTATAGCACCTTCCAGTACTTGAAAGGGGCTACAGGAAAGCTGGGGAGGGACTTTTCATCAGACAAGATAGTGATAGGACAAGGGGTAATGGTTTTAAACTGAGAGAGGGGAGATTTAGGTTAGATCTTAGGAAGAAATTCTGGTGGTGAGGAACTGGAATGGGTTGCCCAGGGAGGTTGTTGATGCCCCATCCCTGGAGGTTTTTAAGGCCAGGTTGGACAAGGTTTTGTGCAACCTGGTCTAGTGGTAGGGTTCCCTGGTCATGGCAGGGGGGTTGGAACTTGAAGATCTTTAAGGTCCCTTCCAAACTTAATGATTCTATGATTAACTCAATGATATCTTAATCATCTTTCTTAGATGTTTATGTGCCCGTTTGTGCTCTGACTCTTATTTAATCTTTCTCATCCAGTGCATGGTGTGGGATGCACTAGGGGAAGGAAAAACTGTTGACCAAAATCTGGTACAACTTTAGTTCTGTTAATTTGAACTGTGGTTATTACCTGTTAATAACAGTGTAGGAAAGAAAAGGGTTGGATTATTCTCTGCTACCCTGTGATGAGAGATGGGGTATGTTGGTGGTGTTGTTGTTTTTAAATCTGTACAGAGTAAATGAATGGGAATGGATTCTGGTTTTCACATATGGATTTCTGTTAAATTCAGTTAAAAGTGAATTTAGCTCTTAAAACAATAATTTTATTATGGGAAGAAATAGTAATTAAAATATTACTGTGGAAGTAAGTCTGATGCTTTGAAGAATATTTTATGCATCTTCAGCTTATACCTATCTTATTAGAAAATCTTACTTATTTTTCAGGTCTAAGACTTCTTGGTATAGGAAGAAACCAATATATAGATCTAATGAACCAATGTAGGTCTTCAAAAGTAAGTTTGTCTTTAATTTCCCTCCCTTTCTTCCCACCTGCCCGTATTATTGTATAAGAAATGTTAAATGGAATAATTTAATGGATCTGTTCAGTTTAATAGTATGTCTAATTGAATGTGACCTAGTGTATTGCTAATTAGATGGTGTTTTCTGAAGGCAGTTAAGAGCTTTTAAATTTTAAATCAAAGTATTCTGAAAAAAAGATATTGAGTGCTATGTCTTTATTTTTTTCCTTTTTTTTTTCCACACATTTATTTCCAGAGTTGTATCTACTCTATGACACCAGATAATTATTATCTCCTGGCCAGTATAAACATGGAACAATGGTTGTCATAGAATCATTCCATGTTTCTATAAGTGTAGTTGAGGTTGGAGCTCATTCTGAGGCAGTCCTCCAGCTAGGTGTACATTTTTGTAGCATGTATGTTTTTTTCTGAGAAAAGGGTAGTGAGTCTGAACAGGCATCCTTGCTTGTCAACAGCACACCTGGAAAACATTGTAATGACTGTTGATAAAATTATGACTTTTATTTGGAACAGTTCCTTTCTTCCTTCAGAAAATGCATAATTGTTCTTGCAGTAGCTTCACAGTGCTCCTTCAGCCAAAAGTGTGCTTACCAAAATATGAAGTTGATAGATTGAACCAGAAAGTAATGGCTATACTGTGGGAGGGAAGATTTTTAGATTTATAACAAAACAGTACCCTCCAGTTTTTCTTTCTTGGACTGTACTTTTTTTAACATCATACTTCTTGGGGTACTTTGTCCTTTGAAGTAAAAAAGAAATGCTCCTAAAATGTTTTTCTAAGATCATTCAACTGCTTTAAAATATCCCTTTTTTGTACTTTGCTGTGCTCTCTTACTTGCTTGCATTAAAAAATACCATGAATAGTTTAGATCTGGACTTGTGTTTGAATGTGTTTGAATAGTGTGATTTGTTTTTAAGTTAGTAACACGTGCAATAAGGGTTTATGTGAATATTTAGCAGTATCAGATGTAAATAATTTTTTCCTTCCCATTTTTATGTGATGGAGGAGAGAACTGTGCTTTTTATGAACAAGCATGTGCTTTTACTAAGGCGCAAGGCTAATAGTATTTGTGTGTATCCAGTCTGTGAATAGAATGTATTTGGAGATGGATGTTTATAAAAATCAGCTTTATATAAAGGTAAATTTCTGTCTGCACCTGTGAAGTGCTCTTTTTTTACAATCTCAAATGGACTGTACCACTGCAGAAATTTTTCAGAAGGAAAACTGCTCATGATCTGTTACCCATGAAGCCTGTGGAGATTGCTATAGAAGCTTGGTGGGTCGTACAGTCTGGCTACATCACTGAGGATGACATCAAGGTAATTTAGTATGGGTTGCATCTCTTGTTTTGACTGAATGCTGATGGTACCTGAAAATGATGGCTT